CAATCCAGGGAATTCGTGAGAAGTCTGGCAAGCATTGTCAGATAGTCGACAGAGGTCTGAACGGTCTCCAGTGCTACTTTAGAGACCTCAAGCAGGGTGATAGGTCTCCCACTACAGACCTGGGAAGGAAGTTGACTGTACTATCATCGCCTCAGTTCTGCCAGTATGATTCTTCGGCGAAGGAGTGGGTCCGGCAGCCTGCAGGGCTGCGAAGTTTGTCATCGCCGGGGACGGCTGATGTTCCCCAGGGGGGGAGTACCAAACCCAACATTTTTTCTCCAGACGACAACAAAGACCCTCACAAAACCCAGGGTCCCCCAAGGTGCAGAACCACAAGGACACGGAGAGTGGCAGGGAAGTGTGTATGGCAGCCTGTACGTGACAAATTGGATTTCATTTCATTGCGTCAGGCAGCCAAACGGGCAAATAAAACTGACCTGCCTATATACTTGTGCATTCTGAGGGCCACCGAACTTCCTGTAGAGAAAAAGAAAAGGCCAAGGTCCGAGGTTGGTGCAACACGGGGCATGATTGAGGGCGAAAAGCGGAGATTATTGAAGGAAACAGGCCCAGTTACTCAAGATATGCCAATGGAGATAGTGATTCAGCAGAAGGTTCAAGAGGCTGAAGAAGAAGTCAGCGAACAGTTGCAGCAGACACTGAAGGAATTCCAGGACGTGTTCCCTGACCAGCTGCCATATGGTCCACCTCCGAAGCGAGTTGTCGATCATGAAATTGATACTCTGCCAGGCGAGGCACCGCCTCATAAAAGTCCATACAGACTCAGCACGGCAGAGTTGGACGAGCTAAAGTGACAGATCGACATGCTACTGGAGCAGGGGTGGATCAGACCCAGCTCAAGCCCGTATGGCGCCCCTATCCTTTTCATCCCCAAGAAGGATGGGAAATGGCGCATGTGTATAGACTATCGGGCATTGAACAAAATCACTGTCAAGAATCGGTATCCGCTGCCAAAGGTGGAGGAGCTATTGGACCGACTTCACGGGGCGTGTTACTTCACGAAGATTGACCTTGCCTCTGGTTACCATCAAATCAGGGTGCGAGAGTCAGGTATTCACAAAACGGCCTTTGTGAGTCGGTATGGCAGCTACGAGTACCTGGTCATACCATTCGGACTGTGTAATGCACCAACAACCTTCCAGCGCATCATGAACACAGTACTGCGGGAAGGCTTGGACAAATATGTGTTGGTGTTCCTTGATGACATTCTGATATACAGCAGAACCAAGGACGAACATCTACGACACATCAGGGAAGTTCTGAGTAGACTTCGGTCAGAAAAGCTGTTTGGAAGGCTGAAGAAATACGACTTCTTCAGAACCGAAGTCGAATATCTGGGCTTCGATATAGGAGCTGAGGGGATCAAGCCCTCATTGTCGAAGGTCAGAGCAATTTTGGATTGGCCGACACCAACCAACGTCACTGATGTCCGGTCATTTTGGGGGTTGTGCAGTTTCTATCGCAGATTTATATGGTGGTTCAGCGAACTGGCAGCACCCATGACGGACCTCACGAAAAAGGACAGGACCTTTGTCTGGGACGATGAAGCAGAGAAATCATTTAATCCGTTGAAGACAGCAATGGTGAGTGCTCCAGTGTTGCAATTACCGGATTTTGAGCGGGAATTTGTAGTCACAACGGATGCGTCAGAGGTATCCGTCGGAGGTATCCTGCAACAGGACTTTGGCAACGGGCTGCAACCCGTTTGCTATGAAAGCAGGAAGCTCAACCCCGCTGAAACCCGGTACAGTGCATACGAAAGGGAATTTCTGGGCATCACCTGGGCTGTTGGGAAATGGCGGCATTGTTTGGCTAGCCGCCACTTCGTCGTTCAGACAGACCATGACTCGTTGAAAAACCTGCCCAACCAGCCTGCTGTCAACAGGCGGTTTTGGAAATGGGTGCAGGTACTGCAGGGATACGATTGTGACATTGTCCATATCCCAGGAAAGGACAACCCTGCAGACTTCCTCACGCGCAGGAGTATTCAGGAATTGCGCAGTATGGCGGATGTGCGTGCGGAAGAAGAGTCATTGGTCCAACGTCTTAAGTTGAATGAAGGTGACAAAGGGGAGAACGAAATACAAAAAAACTCGATGAAATTTTTAAGAAGTCGAGAACTGGGGAAGCAGTGGTGGTTGCTGGTGGGGGAGATCATTCACTTCATTCTTTACATTCTTTGTTGGTGACCAATGCCCGTGTCACACTGGAGGAAGGCTTGAGGGACTCAATTAAAAAGGGCTATCAAGAAGACAGCAGATGGGCAGAAGTGATGGAACAATTGGAATCTGCCCAAGGACGTGTCACCAGGATCGGGTATCGTGATTACCGGCTGAGTCATGGATTACTGGAGATTAAAGTGAAAGACAACTCAGAGGACAGGCGACCTTGGAGATTGGTGGTACCAGATGTGGAGGATGCCCATAGAAGGATTATGGAGGAGATACATGCAGTACCATATGCGGGTCATCTGGGCTACCACAAGACACTCAAGAAGTTACAGCAAAACTTCTACTGGCCAGACCACACAGTGGATGTGAGAGAATATGTGTTGGGATGTGAGGTCTGCCAGTCTGAGAAGAGTGTCCACAAGGTGCCGGTTGGACTACTGCAGCCTTTACAACTTCCAGAGGAGAAATGGAGTGACATCAGCTTGGACTTCATCATGGGTCTACCAGTCAGTGAGAGGAGCAACGACGGGATCCTGACAATTGTAGACCGGGCAACGAAGATGCTACACCTGGTACCAATTCAGCAGACCATCACAGCTGCTGAAACTGCCCGTGTCTACTGGGACAACATAGGGAAGCTACATGGGATCCCAAGGTCAATTGTTAGTGACCGTGACCCAAGATTTGTGTCCAAGTTCTGGCAAGAATTCTGGAAGTTATTGGGGAGTAAGCTGCGAATGTCCAGTGCCCACCACCCTCAAAGAGATGGTCAAACGGAGGCAGCAAATAGGGTGGTAGAGCAAGTCCTCCGATGCACAATCCATGCGAGTCAGGACATCACACACTGGGAGCGTTATCTGCCCATGGTGGAATTCGTGATGAATAGCAGTGCATCACCAGCTACGGGGCATACACCGTTCTACCTCAACTATGGGTTTGAACCAGTGACCCCATTGGACTTGATACGAGATGTCGACCAGACAAACCTTGAAAGGGTTGATGTTTTCGTTAAACGTATGAAGAAGACGTTTAAGCTGGCAATGCAGATGGTTCAACAGGCGCAACAGAGACAGAAACGCCAAGCCGACCAACGGCAGCGTGATCAACGGTTTCACAGTGGGGAACAGGTGTTGCTGAGCACATAACATCTACAATTGAAGAATGCACCTGTTCGCAAACTCAAGAGGCGATTCGTGGGTCCCTTTGCTGTGGTCCGTCCGGTGGGACCAGTGGCCTACGAATTGGAGCTGCCTAAAGGGTGGAAGATTCATAATGTCTTCTATACGAGTTTGCTCCGACCATTCAGAACGTCCAAATGGTCGTCCCCACATGAAGATGAAGATACTGAGATTGAAGTTGAAGTTGATGAACCATACGACATGGAGAAGCTGCTGCGTTGGAGATGGGCAGGCCCCAGTGGTAGGAGGCATAAAGAATTTTTGGTGTTATGGACTAGGTGGAGCTTGGACGATGCCTCCTGGATACCGGCAGGAAATTTCACCTATGCGAGAGAGCTGCAGAAGATGATCAAGAGGGACAAGCCCGAGGAAGTCACTAGTATGGGATAGTGACGCTTTCGAGGGCGAAAGCTACCCCAAGGGGAGAGTACTGTTGTGGAGCTACTTGGGGGCAGGCAGTAAATGATATTTTCCGCAGCTGTATTACGTAATCTCGCTGAGTCATTCTTCTCTACGGTTTAATTATGATTTCCTGGTTCCAACGCTTTGTTCAGCACTCAATTCTGTGGAGTATGGAGGAAGATACGGCCTCGTGAAGACGCAGTACTTAGAGGCCGGGTGCTGAGCGGGGATGGTTGGAATTAGAGCTAGATTAGGTTGATTATAGGTGACGGAGGGGCGCTGGTACACGGTCCGTACATTACACTGAGTTGTCCTGTTTGATGTGACGCGATGGACCCGCGACCGGGCATCGCGCAGGTACATTGGATGCGCGCCGCGTGCGTCAGACTGTAACCGCATTCGGGCCCCCTCTCTGCCCCGCCGCGAGGCAGCGAACCGCCGACCGCCGCCGCGAACCCACCGCCTGCACACGGCAGGCTTCGGGGAAGGTCCCCGAGCGTCCAAGGGCCCACCGCGCTACCGAACAAACGAGCGCCCTGACAACGCCCGCCGGAATCCGGCGGAGAGGCGCGGCATCGAGGCCGCGCCATCGGGTGCGGCGACCGCCCCCCAAACTCCAGAAACCAGCGGCCGCCCGCGGGCCGCAACACTACTTGCAACTTTGTGGCAAAGGGGATACTACCGGAGGAAGGCAAACGAAGATGCCGTGTGACGACCAATGGGCAACATAGCATGAAAGTTTAATGAAATACCATTGTCCTTCTCATGCCTTCAGCAATTCGACAAGAATTGACACATTATGCTTAGCTTAGCCGCTCCCATATAGGAATGACATATCATTCCATCACATGCTTCCATAATGCACATGTCACAACATGCTCTTTCTTGCTCCTTGTAACACATCACAAAACCCAAAGGGCATACGCTCCATAAAGATTCTACACACATCATTGCCACATATATGTGCAACTCCCATGAGACTTTTATGTCCACATGTGCCACACTTATGATACATTTGCCATGACAACTGCCCAACGATTGCTTCTCTAGCCCCTCAAACTGCAATCACCGCATCATGCCCCATCACGTCCATCACCAGCCACCGGGCCGGGTTACCCATCCAGGAGCGCCATGCGTGCAATGCACAGGGCTCCGGACTTGTAAAATACTACGGTAATATAAGAATTCATCTATGGTCACTGGATTCCTCAACCCTTGGGTTCACAGGTCAGCCAAAACGGTACAAACCGCAGCACCTGGCCACTTTCACGGCCCTTTTCCGTGAGTCTATGTCCGGCTGGTGCTCCAAGATGTACCACAACAGGTAGAGCTGGAGCAGCAGTGGGACATCCTCCTTAAACGCCAGGTGCCCAAAGCTCAGACGACCAACTTCTGCCACCCCCGACCTAACGATCCAGCCAGAGCGGTCAGTGTAGTCCATGACGTACTTATGCCCCATGTATTCCGTCGTCAGGCTGCACCACACTCCCTTTGCCTCCACCGCAGACAGGACCTCTTCATCGCCCTTCTTCAGCCGCAGGTCGGCCTTGGACGCCTTGTAGCGCTCGCCCCGGGCCACCAGCGTTGCCACCTCTTCATCGCTGGGAAATAGTACCTCTCCCACCTGCTCCTTTGCACTCCAGATGCCGCGGTCGCGGCTGGAGAACTTTACTTTCTTGACAGTTAGCTTCATCAAGTGCTGCTACCTCCAGGCGACCCTGCCCAACCAGACGGAATTTGTCAAAATGCATCGAAACGCGAAGACAGCTATCGATTTTGTCACGTTCGACATTGCCTGGACAGTCCTGCGCCTTCCATATCCTGCAAGGGTATTTTTTGTCATGGTGTTCTGACAGTCTGTATTCAAGCAATTCCAAGAACTACTGTTGTGCTTTCCAAGGAATTGAAGCGGAGGGTGACAGGCCAAGCAAAGCTGGCATATTGTTGCCACAAATCCACAAATTCTGCAGAGACGCTCAATCCGAACCTGACCTGTGTAAAAAGCTTTCCTTCGAGTATTCAACTGCGAAGATGGACCCCAAACATTCAATCGACAGTGTCCAACCCTGTTCCCATCGGCTGCCATCGCCAATCCCCCAATCCGTGAGCCAGTTCCCACCAAAAACAAACAATGCCCACTGATGGTCACCATTGCCAGTCAGGCTTGTCAGGAAGCCCCCATTTCCTGCTGCAGAAGGCAATCGCACACCATGCAGACCGGTGGCAGTGATTGGTTGTGATGGCAGGCAACACTGCTCTGTTGGGTACGACATTTGGTCTCTATCTGTGTGCCCAGCGTCAAATTGATGCTAAGATAATTCCCTTCTTGCACTGGGAGAATCTATATCGTTTTTTCACAGTGCGGCACAGAGTCTCAAAAACACGTATTTGCTTCAGAAGGGGTGTCCGTTATATGGCATTTCTCTTGGAAGATTAACAATCCTGCCCCCTCTTCCTGATGTCAATCCCTATGTCGATGCTGGCATGGCTCAGCAACACTGCCCAGTAGTGCAACACAACAATTTGGTGCAGGAAAGGGAGCATCGGCAAGTTGTGGAGCACAAATTCTTCAAGGGGCACAGTCAGCACTGCAGCGAATACAGTGGTTTGAAGGCCAGCGTGCATTGGGGATAACTATCAGTTGAGTTTGTGGGGTCTCCTTGGAAGTTGAACAGTTCAGCAAAATTTTAAACAAGTTTGGTGTGGTTTCGGCTTCCCGCTAGCTTCTGTTGATTCTGTGACCATTGCGTAAATGTTCAGCACCACTTGTCTGGAAACTGGGCCCCGGTTTGCCTCAGTCTGACGTTAATCGTAGCACAATCGACACAGGGTCATCCCTTGGTGATGCACATAGGTGGACATCCAAGATGCACAAAGCTTTCGGCACGCCCAGTCCAAATTGTCTGCGGCCAGATGCATACACGGCCAGCGCCCACAGTGCCCCCTGCGAACGGGCGCCACCTGGCGCGCGGCCACTCCAACAGTTGCACTCCATCCTACCTGTGCAATGCGCCAGGTCCGTCACCGCCGTCAGTCAAGACCCCGCGCAACATGTCCCGGGGGTCGCTGGTTTGTCGTGATGCGCAGCTGGCGGGGTGTCAAAGGTCCCTGTCTTCCCATTTGAAGTAGCTCACCATAACGTTGCTGAGCCAGGTGAGGACTGGAATCTGAGCTTTCCGCACTTCAGACTATTAGCGAAGAGTTTAAAACCCCTTTGGCGCTTTTGCAATGTCAGTGCGCCTTTTATATGGTCTGTCTGCCTCCTGCAAAATTAGGGTCGCCTAGATTTTCTCCCGCCCAGCATGGCGTCTGGGGGACGGCAGGCGCGGAGGGGGGACAGGAGGGAAAGGAGGGGAGGGGCGAGGGAGGTGGGTGGCCGATTCGGCGAGCGGCGCATAGGCCCCTCTCAATCGCCTCAATGGTCACATGAAAGCATTGTCGCTCGAAGCCGGCGGCCATGGCTGGGTGTCGCTGGGCGCGATGAGCGGGGCGGCCTTTCGAAATCGGCAGCGCCGTCGCCTGGGTGTTCATTGGGAGCAATCAAACTTTGCATTGGCAAAGCGGTCTTGTTTATCTCGTTCGAATGCCATAGCCGGATGAAAAGTGGCCAGTCATCGGTCATGGCGGGTGCAACTCAGCACATCCTTGTGGGGAGTTGGCAATTCAGTCAGACGCCGATATTGAAAAGGCAACGGGCCGCAACACTCAGAGTCACGCCAATAGCTGCCATTGAAACACTCATATAAGTATATCATCATTCCCGTTGGCCTGCGGACACATGCATGTGTCCTGGTTGCCAACACCAGCTTACATTAAAGCAGTTGATGATTACTGAATGAAAACGCAGATTCTGCGCTGTTAATGGAATTTGCTATCTTGTTGATGGGTGCCTGGGACGATTGGGTTGGCTGTGACGATAGTTTGAATCGGCAGCTCACCTTGAATGGCCATTTCAGGCGTGGCCGTTTGGTTTATGTCCACCTAATACCTTGGTCAGCCAAAGTCCAAGGCGATGAGAAAAAGGTCGTGGACAGTTTGCCACCCATGGAGTTTGCTTGTTGGGGGCGGCTTTTCAGGCTGCCCTCTCAGTCCTCGCTCTTATCCTGCTTTATACCAGGTGTGGGCACAAACGAACGTGTTTTTCATGCTCACGTTGCGATCGGGCTGAAACGTCTACAGGACGGTAATGACACATTTGTGTTCCCGTTTTGGACCCAAACGTACAGTATACATTTAAGTTCCCGTTTCAAGATTCATACGTGCCACGCGCATTCGTGTTTCTGTTCCAGAAACCCAAACATGTGGCTCACATTTTGGTTACCTGAACGGTCAGCTAGTTTAAACATATGCTGGACATTACTGTTCGTCGCCACTGTTAGCCAGTCGCAACACAAGAAAATGCGTGGGAGATCCAGAAAAGGCGGTATAGATGAGGTATCTGAGCCAAATGTGCACCAATACATGCCAGTTGTGGCAGTGCATTTGTTAGACAATATTACTACTGGCACCCCGCGTTTAAACTGAGGAAATCAGATCAGTTGACTAACGATTCGGGCAACGTTTCCATAAGCGGAATGTTGGTCAATGTCCACGTTACAGTTTTAAGCTGAATGCGTTGAACGCATTGAACACGTTCACGTTTCCGTTTTGAAACCTAACCGCATTCCAGCTGTTCATGTTTTCGTTCCAAAATCTCAAACGTAGTGGACACGTTTGCGTTTTCATTTAGTAGTGCACGCCACCCCTCTCATACCCACGCTGTCTAGCCAGAGAAATTGCAGCTGTGGGATGGCCTAGGCCACGAAGTGCAGGATCACAGGGCTGACTCAGGGATGTGTTGTGAATAGAGCACATCTAAGTAATGGTTACTTGAGTTGAATTGTCACGTCACGGACACCATTGTGTTTCGTTTGTGTGAAGTTTGGTTGGAGACCACTTGTGTTGCTTGGTCAAAAAGACTAGCGAAGTAGAAACGCATGATTCTGGCCCAAAGGCCCCCTAGTGTAGGTCATACCACTGCCGGGGTACGTTCTACCAGCAATGACTATCGAACTGACCTGTGACGACCAACTTGTTGTGGCTTGCACCCAATATATGGCGGGGTCATCCAGCGACCGTGGCCTGCAGTTGGAGCAAATAGTGAGAACGCCAAAGGCAAATGGCGACACCACTCAAATGGCATGAGATGCCAGCGACAACAAACAACACCATCTGGGTTGTGGATATCACCATCATTTTTAACAGAACAAGGCAATGGGGTAGCCGTCAGATTCCTATTTTGCCTCAGCAAAGCAGTGTCTATGATCAGTTCATTGAAATCTAATCTAACGTAAACACAAACAAAGTCTGTGAGTTCATTAACTCTAATGCCAAGAAGCGATTGTTGGTGATAATACATCAAACAAGTGTCCTCGGCAGTTGGCGACCAGGAATCGAAGGAAAAAGTGAGTTTGCGTTGCAAAATCGCAAAAGACAAGAGTGGCTTTGACGGATGTTAACCAGGCCTGGCAGTGGAAGAGAAATGGGATCTCATCTTCTGGAGCCAAGTGACATAAAGAACACAATCGACTTGGTTGTGGATGCGAATTGGAACTGAATCGGCACAATGCGTACCACCGACAGCATTGCCGCAGACAAGTGTCCAGTTGTTTCAGAGCTCACCAGACAGGAATGAATGGAGCCGCTGATGGAACACTGGGTACAAACCGTGGGAGGCCCGCCAAAATTGTAGTTGGCCAAGCCACGTCCTTGCATCTGCAGGCCCAGTTCACGAATCTAAGGAGCGATTCGGCTGCAGAACTTCCAATTCTTTTGCAAAGATCCGGTCTCACCGCAAGGCGAACGAGGGAGCCTGACCTCCCTCGCACATGTCTCACAACGAAACAGTGAACGGCGTTCTCTTCCATACTCAATCAACCATCTGCATGCTCCTAAAACAGCATGGCCCTTTGCTACTTGTCAGGAAGCCATCCGTTGCTGCTAGGCTGCCGACGCGCAGAGGCTGATTGATCGGCTGTCCGGCCTCCAATCGCCCTTTTTCAGTGGGAGGGGGGCAGCCGGCTCCCTGTCCTGTGTTGTTGTCCATGGTCGACGATGGGCGCACTTCACCCCAAAAACCCGGTTGGCCAAAGTCCAGAAACCGACACCATTGCCTAGGACCAAGGTTAAGGGAAAGATTCATCCATTTATGGGCAGGGTTGAATTTCTTTCCCAATCTGCACCGCTGGTAGGAAGTTGTACACCGTCGTATATCATGGCAACGGCAAATACAAGAGTTGAACAGTCTTCTGCACCCCCATTTGGCCGTCTTGGCTGCAGATCGCTCTGCTAAATACCGTGCCCTAGTTGACGGCCTATCTCTGACCTGCGGATGCCTGCTGTCCCAAGTATGGCCAGCTTATGCTTCTCATTACTGTAGTGACTAATCGCACAGCTGATCCATGTCCCAGACAACCAATAGTCTTTGTAATCGAACATGTGTTCAGCTTTTGCAACGTCGTTAGTGCTTCCATGGTCGAATGAATGGTGATGGTGGTGGCTTCCACGGCCGACGCTGGACAGCAGTAAACTTTCAGCGTGGCGACCACATTTAGATTCTGAGAGCAACTGCCTGTTGCTCAACAAGCAAAATTCACAACAGCTTCAATAATCGACACGCCATTTTTCCCTTATTGCACTCTGTCTCTGGACAAT